CAGGCCGCCGCCATCTTTGTCACCTTTGACCTGACAGGGGGACCGTCCATTATAAAAGGGGAGGGGTGTAAGTTTTCCACACAGCAAAAGTTGCAGTGTAAAACACAGCAAAAGTTGCAGTGTAAAACAGCAAAAGTTGCAGTGTAAAACACAGCAAAAGTTGCAGTGTAAAACACAGCAAAAGTTGCAGTGTAAAACACAGCAAAAGTTGCAGTGTAAAACACCCAAAGTTGCAGTGTAAAACACCAAAAGTTGCAGTGTAAAACACCAAAAGTTGCGGTGTAAAACATCAAAAGTTGTGGTGTAAAATTTTGTACTTGTCGGCCACGGTATTTCTAGGTACAGAAGTACTAGATATTTTATTTGGATGGCCAAGCGGTGGAAGTGAAATACATGTTAACTATATAAACATTCCTAAGGAGCCATTTGACCTAATCCAAGATGTTCAAAAGGACAGGTCTCATGTTTGTGGTGTTAATTATTATTTTGTGGTGAGAGGTAACTGAAAAACAAAACCATTGCAAACATTATTACTATTACCTAAGCCCTCTTCCTGTGCAGGGTGACAGGTACATCTGCAACAAGTATTGTTACTTCCTGTCTCTGCCCAACTCATATGACCTCATGTCACTGGTCTATCTTTAGACTCTTATGGTCCTGTGGCCTACTGAGAAGGACTTTGTATCCGTTATCATACAACCTGGTGACATTAACAAAATGCAGAGGTCCCTTTTCAATACCCCTTTTCAGTTTGTGTGCGTGAGTCAGAGTCAGTCAACAAGAGGGTATTATGGCAATCAGAAGTGGCAGACTTCACCCCCTTCAATACATTCTCAGTGCTGCTATTCTTATCTGACTGTGTGTGACACTTAAAGTACATTGTACTAGCAAGGGCATTTTCAGTGAGCTTTATAGGTAACAAGCCATTAAGCAGGTAATTAACATACTACAGCCACAAACTGCATTCAGACTGACTGGGACATTGTTAGCAATTTGATATTCCATCCTCCCTACAAAAAAAAAGAAATCGGAGATTTTAGACCACCAAGTATTGGAGGGTCCCTCATGCAATCCTCAGCTTCCTGACTTCCCCCACGTGGACCTCTTATAGTATACATGTACTTGCAGACTTTAGAGACATTTCCTCTGTCTGACCTTTTGACCTGTCATTCTGTCTGTCAATCTTTCCCTCCTTTATGTGCAGCATCAACCTTCTCTGTGCAAACAGATAAGGTTACACAAACACACAGCTCAGCCACTCAAAACAATACTTCCCTAGCCAAAAGTAGAAATCTAGTTAACCACAAGGAAAGTTAATGGATGGCCTTCTCCTACCTGGATAGCTGCCATGAGGGACTGTACTTTTGTCTCGTTGAGTACAGGAGGGATGGGCCTGATGAGGATGTGTAAAGGCACCTCATGGACCTCCCCGATGTGCGCTGTCTGTACCGTCATGTCCTCCCCAAGTTCAATACCAACAGATGGAGGTGGTCTGCTCTCTCCTAGTCGGTCATAATGGACAATTAGTGGGTCATACATAATTACTTAAAAGTAGCCATGGCGACTCAGGAAGCCTTTTGTATGTATATATAACACGTTACATACAAGAGGCTTCCAGACAAGTCGCCATGGCTAATAATTTGTAAAGACACATCATATATATAACGTTTTATATAGAAATCAACGTGACACAATCAAATACAGAAGCCTCCTGCCTGTAAACATTATCCACAAGGCAATCAGAGATGGCAGACTTCTCCCAAAATGTCAGATATAGACGCACAAGACGAGTCCGAAACAAAACTTAGCTTGATGACTAATTGATATAAAATATAGGAACCTGTTTCCTCGTCTGACATGGTGCGGACCATACTCATCCTGGCTGGGACTGTCGGAGTTCGGAGAAAAATCAGCGTGGTCTGAAGCAGCACTCCGTACAAACTCAGACCCGTCCGCCTGGCCACAGGACAGGCACGTGAAGTGTGGAGGCTACGAACAAACGTCCGGATCCAAAATGAGATCTGACTCATAGTAGGCACGGATTTCCCTGGCTCATTCTGAGAGTGCAACTTTCCGCGAAACCAGGAAGTTTCACGACCTTCGACCTCGCGGAATTGACGTCATCAGTGTGGGTGGCAGGTTAGGACATCACTGATCCTGATCTCCACATAATATGACCGACACCCTTTCGGAGATTGAAAATATTCGTGCGAAAGCGATAACGTCAAAAGAAGCATTGAAGTTAGCGCCGAAAGCTAAAAGGACTCTGACGTGGAACAGAATTGAGATAAATTCATAACATGTGTTATAACAAATTGTCTACTTGTCTTTATGATCTTGAGCCGCTGTGTGGCGCTGTTGCAACATGTGGTGCAGATTACCGAAACGCCCCGAAACCACGCGCCTGGCGAGAGTTGCGCAGTTCGCGAGGTCACGAGAGTTGAGAGTGGGTTGAGTCAACAAGCGGAGTAACGTTAGAGGCTGACTAGTGCAGTTGTTTGGCGCGATGAGAGGATGTAGCGGCCGGATACGCGTCTCTGTACCGAACTATGGTTAGCCCTCGACCTGGCTGGGTGCTGGTGGTGCCGCTGCTGCTGCTGTGGGTGAGCGGTGGAGGGACCGCGCAGCTTGTGGTGAACGTACGGAACCGCGGTGGGGATGTGACTCAGGAGAGTATCATGGCTGATACCGAGCAGGACATCATCACACTAGAGTTTCAGAAGTCCGACGGGACGCTGGTCACTATGGTCATCGACTTTAAATCGGTAAGCCACGTCCCTTTCTTAAAATCCCTGGCTAGTTGGTATTACAGTATTGTCTTCTGACTCAGCTAACGTTACAACTTTAGTTAGACGAAGACCGTTTTCGCACAGGCTACGATTTTGTTTTTGTCCCAGCCACACACACTTATTTGTGCAGAACTTCCTCTCACATAGTCGGCATAATCGTGGGCCTGGAAGTCCGATTCAATTTGAGATTTGGCTACCAGCTTGCCCAGCAAGGCCCTGGGAGAACGATAAACATCTGTACAGTTCCGGCATCTGCGGGCGACCCAGCTCGACTTTTCCAGATCGGACAAACGAAAACATGTTTCCGGCCCGGAAACTGCACCAAGTTGATCGGACAGTAGACCACGCACACTGGTTCACACAGTGCTTAGCCAACGAGATAAGCAAGCAGGGACGGCAGACATTACCCTTACTGTTTTACGACCTTCCAGTCACACAGACACAAGCACCATAGCAGCACTGAGGATGGTCGACAATGCTGTATTGTGTATACAATTTGTCAGAAACAGACACAACGACAGACACAGCGACAAACCCAAAACAGTACAGTACTTTGGTCTCATTGGGATGAAGCAAATGATTATGACAGCAGTACAGAACAGTTTAGCATATTTGTACACAAGTAGTTATTCAAACCTTTAGCCTGTCCTGTTTACTAGTAGTTTACTTTGATGTGTACCCGGGCCTGGGTACCTTACTGGTTACTGAACTTTAAAGGTGGTTTTAGTTTTCTAGGTTTCCGTAACCTCTCCACCGCAAATTCATGACACCGCAAACCCTTGTATGACTGCTGTACTACAGAATTGTTTCAACCGCAAAGACAAATTAACAGCACCTGAGTCTGCCGCAGTACCATAACAAACTGTTAGGGGGCCCAAAATCTAATCACTTTGAGGTCTCATGAAGACCTACCCACATACCAAATCTGGAGACAAGTCACCTAGGCATTCTTGAGTTCTGGTGTTCACAGAAGGAAGGAAGGAAGGAAGGATACACACACACACACACACACACACACACACACACACACACACACACACACACACACACACACAGAGGCACACGCACCAACCATACCCAAAACATACAATTAATACTAACCTCCTGTCCTGGTGAAGATAATTAACAAGTTAGCTGTACTATGGGTAGGGTTTTTATATCATACTCATAGACATTATTAGGACCCACAACACTTCCTGAAGGTTTATGTTCAGAAATGGTTGCACAGTCATGGCAGTCCTATGTTGAATATCGTGCAATCATTCATTTTATTTTCTAGTGTAAATTGGCTATTGTTAGTACATACAATTCACAGAAACCACAAGTGATTTGTATAGCTGTCATCAGGGTTGTTGTCCCATTATCACCCACTGTCATTCAGGGTGCTCAGTCAAGGATGGCTACTATTATAGTACTAACGCTATTGGACGACTGACAATGCACCAATATTTTTATTTTTTTATGTCTAGTTTCCTAAACACAATACCTGCCCAGATGAACATTTATGAAAGAATGATATCAATATTTTTAGTGTACTATACGATAATGTTCACCTTTTTATTATACCATGACCTCGTTCAGTTATTTTGACAACTGTCATGATCACATTCACAAAGTTAGATTTTAAAAAAAAATTTCCACATCTTTTTTTCTTTCTCTTTGCTCGCATCATTTTTGGGGGACGCCTAGAGGATGACCTCTGTAACTAAAATGAAGTCAGCCTGAAGCACCCAGTGTTGGTGCCACCTGGGAAAAGCAATGGCACATCTTATGATTGTGGTGTGCTCGTAGTCAATTGGTTTGGTGCTCCTGTCAAGCCAGGCTGGGTTATTACATCTGATTGTAGGCATAGGTACATCAGATAACAGACCACAACCACAGAGATGGGACCTCCCTCTGACATTTCACTGGTGGAAAGGTCACTGTGATTGGCTGATTAAGTTCGCTACTTGGCATCTCTCACTGTAAAATGTGAAATGCTTGCGGTTTGTGGTTTTATGTTGCCGTTTTCTTTTTCACTCTGACCTCATGCTACAGAATCATAACATTGCAAATATGTGTTTTGTATTTCTACTGTTTTCCTAAAAATTGCACCATTAAAACCTTTCCCTCATACCATAGAATAAAACCACTGCGAAAGTAATGAAAGTAGATGCATCTAAAGGTAATTAATGTGATTTAAAACTAGTATAACCTTACCCAAGACAACTTCGAAGATTTTCAATCGTCTTAACAAAGTGTATTTTTTTAAATTTGCATAGATTTCACAATTTACAAAAGAGATCATTTTATTTCTTGTGCACTTATTCAATGTATACATTGCATGTTTATTATCATACTTAAACTTTATTATGTTATACTGTTTACCAGTACCCATTCCCTATATAGAGAGAATTAAATGTAAACATTGTAGACTGGTTAGAATGCAGGTTGGCAGTTTGTCATATATACCAGTGCCTATTATAATTGTTGTTACAATAAAGTTTGATTGGATTTTGTTTACCAGGTAATTAGGAAATTATCCCCCGCAGTTCCAAACACCTGGGAGGCCTGTTAAAGCCCCCTCTTGTTACAGTGTACTGCCTAAACATAAAAGTCTGCCCATCAGACATAGACGAGCGTCCTTCCGCTCTTTTGTGTTTGTGCCTCGCCAGTCCTGGACACTTCAATCCCTGGACTTACTGTAAATCTCCAAACTTTTGTGATGGTTTCACTTTTGTGGCCCTTTTCACCACAGGTTCCTGACACCGTGAATATCTCCTTGTTGTAGGAGTAGGACTACTAAATACTACACAATTGTTTCAAACGAGAAAACTCAATAAGTGCTGGGAAAACCTCCTTTTCCCTCCTACTGTGAAATAAAATCACCGTGAACGTAAATGAAATTAAAGTACCCAAGTCCTCAATTCAAGATTTTCCAACAGAGGAAATGATTTCTAGTGGCAGTACATGCGTATAATGTTAAGATAGGTAATTTTGGAAGACTTCCATGATTTACCTTGCTGCGAAAGCAAACTAATCTGTGTTAAGTCTAGGATTTGCTGTTACAGTTTGTCCTGACTCCTGACACTGTAGGATACAGTACATGTATGTCACATGATGAAGTACACCCAACACCCCTACCAACAAAATGGAGCATCTCTGGCGCTAATACCTATATTTACAGGAAATGCCCCGGAGCAGTGAAAGCAGAGAATGTAGAGAAGTATATATTTATCTGCACTCCAGACTAAGTGGTGTTTTGAAGAGATGAGCCCACCTGTCCATTCACTCGGACAGATCAAAGCCAGCTCGGAGTCCTTTCATCCAGCCCTGCTAGGATTGTGGGCTTTACCCCTGGGTTATTGGGAAACCCTGGTGACCAGGAGGTCATTGATTGTCAGGCACAACTTCTGTTCAAGGTCAAATGTTAATGTTTGTGAGATGTCCTTGAAACATTGTTCAACAAGAAGTCATACATGTTAAATCGCCCCTGGAAGTATTTTTTTAGAGTTTTTGTGAATGTATTGACATAAACTAAAGAGATAGTGTGAAAGATAGTGTGAATTATTCCAATAGACATACATGTATAGGACAGAAACTATGCAGGCAGAGATCTTGTAGTGGCAATCCCCAAGTGGGTATACCCCCAGTAACTGTGGGTGGACTCACTTCATATCAGCCATTTAGACTGCCAACTTGACATCAAGGTCAATCTACAGTTTCAAAATCTCCCCCCTGCTGCCACTCGGCATAACTACCTTATGAATACACAAGTAAATACACAGTGTCACAGACAAACCTGATTTGGTTGTGAGGTGTGAATGTCCTATGATGAAGTTGTTGCAGTAGACCCTTGTAAGCTCGATAATGATTTTCTCCATGATAATTGACATGGAAATATTGATGTGTTCCTATATTGTAACATTGGATACTAGTACTCTTAAGACAGGTTGGAACTATATGTGTACCTGACAATTTGACAAAGTATCCTGTGGTCTTCAATGATGATAGAAACATGATGCTTGAATAGTAAACAGAATGTTTATTTAGACTTTACAGAGAACCCATGCATCCTTTTTAAAATCAAACATGGTGCTGACTCCATGTTTTCATATTTTTCCAGTGCTAGATTATCATCATAGGTAGGTTTTTAGAAAAAGAAGAAGTTAAAAAGTTCTTTTCTTGAGTGAAGTCTGTATTTTCCAGTATTTTGAATGTAAATGATTTTGGTGGCACCCTACCAACACTAAAATGGAAGTATTGACTGATGTATAATTTGTGTCCACAGGAAGTGCAGATCTTCAAGGCACTGATTCTGGGGGAGATGGAGAGAGGACAGAGCCAGTACCAAGTCATCTGCCAAATCACAAAGTTCACCAAGAACGAATTCATCTCTTCAGACGCCATGTCAAAACTCAGACAGGTACAATTGTTTTCTTTTTTGTCTTGTCTTCTCTTTTCTTGTCCAAAGTATTGTTTTGGGTTGGTTGTCTGTGGGTTTGTGTGTATGTTGTGTGTCTGGACAGAGTAAGTTGACAGCACATAAGTTGGGAAGATTGTCAGGCAGAATGACATAAGGTTACTTGTCATGGTCATCAGACACAGGAAATGGGGTGAACTTGAAGGCCCCAGCATCTGATGCCGCAGTAAAAACTGCTTAAGCATTAGGGGTTGACATATGGTGGATTTCAGGAAGCTGAGGAACAGTGTACAGTTTGCTGTAATCATCTTTACCTTGACCCAATAAAAGGCAGTCTTACTGCCTTTATGAGAACATCTGGTTTTTACTAAAGGTACACAAAACTGTCACTGTGATATTAAAGATCCCACTTCGGACAGACCCAGGCCATATTTGTGACAGACCTCCTGAGAGATAGAGATAGGAGCTATAACTATTTACTTTACAATTTACTTTCATTGTGGATTTATTTCACTATATGCAGATTTTCACTGTAAACTTGGAGGTCTCCAGTATTCATACAAAGAAGGCATATTCAGAGTGTTGTATTCAGTGTATTTATGGTGGAGAGGGCATTGTGAAAATAGATTCTATCCAAATGTTTCCAGATTTACAGTAAGTTGCAAGAAAGTTGCCCACTGCCTCCTCTCCAGTCTGCTTGAGTGTTTTCCACCTACAGCTGACCCATGAAGAGCTCTATCCCAGAGGAAGAGTAGAGTAGCTAACATATTCCCCGGATTTCAAGGGGCTTAGAAGCTGTGTTTACTCCAGTAGGGTCCATCTACAGGCTGGGATCTGTCGGGGGTAAACATCAGGACAGAGTGTGGAGGTATCTGTGTCAGACCTGCTGACCCCTCACACACCTCCGCTCAGGTGTAATGATCGTACCAGTTGTGTTCTGGGCACGCTAATGGCCCTGTAAAACTTACATGTTCTGCATCCGCAAACCACCAAAGGCGGGAGTGTGAATGGGAAGGGTCAGACGAGGCGCGGCAAAGCCTCCTGTTTCCAATCTACCACACGAATGGGGCGCAACTATGCGGTGTGTACACACAGCTCTGTGTGGCTGGGGATGAAAAGCGGCAGTGTTGTTGTTCACAGTTCATAAGCTAATACTGTTCATGGAAGGAGGGGGACTTGTCACGACCCTGGCGTTGATAGAGTGCACTTTGCCACCCCGATGTATACACAACAAGGGGTAAAGAGCAGGGAAAAATGCTGCCTGACTTCCTAAACTTTTGCTTTTGTCATCCTCCCCCCCCCAAAAAAAAATTTCTTACTGCACC